GGGGGGGGGGGGGGGGGGGGGCTAAGTGGAGTTTAAAAAAAAATTGGTGTTCAGTTTACACAGGATTTAATTTGAAAGAAAAATGTCAGTGATTAATTGTGTCGTTCTCGGGCAGTGGATCGCGTTCGGTGTCAATTTTTTCGTGTGAATAATCAACATTTTACGGACAAATGTTTTTTCTACGCATTGACAAAGTCTGTGAGTTACAGACAACTGAAATAAACAGGATAAAAATATAGAATAATTGGGGTGAGAGAGTAGGAAAGACGGAGTAGTCTTCCGTGTTTTCGTGTCTTGATGAAGGTGGCGATCGATAGGGCGCTCGCGTGTTCTGGTTGTGGACATTGACGACGTTAAGGTCGACAGTGAGAACAGAGAGGTAGACTACATCCACAGTTTGTCACCCTGGATGATAAATAAATCTGTGAAAAGTTGATAGTCAATAGCGAGGGCATTGAATACTTGAAGTTCGAAGTGTCAAGCACTTGTATATGGGTGACTTTGTTGGTGGCAGTTTATTCTCAACAAGCAGATTGACAACGTGCAGTGTGTCATCAACATCAAGCACGTCGCTGTTGAATAGCCAAGTAGCAGCGATGCAGGACGATTTGTTGATTGAGAAGCAGAGCACTGCTAAGCCAGCGCCACTGTCACCAGGTGGCCTGGATTCGGTGGTTACGACTGGTCAGGATAAGCCGAAGGATACGGAGCCCGAGAGTATTGCAATAGCGAGATCAACGCCTTCGTCTATGGACAAAGACATGACGACGTGTGGCACAACATCGAGTCTTCAGGGCTTCACGGATCCAGTGCGTGTGCCATCGCTGTGGGCAGCTGTGCCAGAAGACAGTGGGCTGCATGCACTACCGGTCAACGGTTCAATAGCGACCTTTCAGAATTTTCCGGCTGGAGGGCCAGCGGGTCTGTTCGCCGGATCTGGCGCAAGACGTGCTATAACAGCTAGTCATAATTTTCAACACGGCGGCAGTACGACTGGCGGTGTACGGCACGGTCTGCAAGTTGGACAGCAGAATGTGTCGCAGCAGTCGCAGGGACCGAATCAGCAGGCGCAGCAGCAGCAGCAGCAGCAGCAGGGCTCGCATCCCGGTGTTTATCTGCAGGGAAAGGGCTATGCCGCTTGGTCTGGCGGTCCGCAGGCGCCTCAGCAGTGGGGCAGTGGACCTCAGACCGCTGCTAGTCCCGCTTTGTCGCCCTGGAGCCGGGGGAGATCTGTTCCCAATTTACCACCGCTGCACTCGTCACTTCATGCCGCTGCTGCGGTCGCCGCTGCTGCTGGATTGCAGGGGAGGAAACCCAGTCCGACTTTTCCGGGGCATCCTGGACAGAATCAGCCGCATCCTTCTAATATCAGCCCTATTAAGTTTCGTCGGAGCACTTCTTATCCCGGCAAGGGGAACCTCTATCCACCTCAGCCTACACCGACTTTTGAAGTTACAGCCGCTGAAGAACGGGAGTTAATGCAGCTGTCTCCGTATCAGCAGGTACTTTATTGATTGCTTTTGGGGGGGAAACTGGTGGGTTAGAGACGTATTAGTTTGATTATCTCGAATGACGGAAACAAAACGGTTGGTAGAGTGATATTTTTACGAAGCCTTGAAATGCGAGTCACTAGATTTGAGGGGTAACAGATGGCCAACATTTCCTCGAAATTTTCAAACAAATTTCCTACACTGATGGAAAGGATTAGTTATTGTTAATGAATGCATTTGGTTGGAGACGAGGGTCTATTCGCTCTCGCCAAATGTTCGTTCGTTAATGGTTAACAAATGCACATTTGAGGAGCGCTTTTTGATTCGATTTTTACTTTTTAAGTGAACCATTCGTTAACTATTAACGAATAGTAGAGTTGAATATGACCAAATGAATATTCGATAATAGTTAACGAATCTCGTTTGGAATTTGGAATTATTTTTTTAACTGATTGAAGTGATTGAAGTTTCGAATGTCGAAGAACAAGACGTTTGATAGACAAGACATTTTTGTGTTGTCTTCAACGACAAGTCACCAAATTTAAGATACTTTTCCTGCCTTAACTCAAGAATCTTGAAGACTGTTCCGATAATAGTCATTTATGACGGCACTACGACAATAGATTAATTTCATTAAGATATGGAATCATGAGACGTTTTTGGTGAGTTATCCATTTTGATTGCGTGGGTGGAAAGGGGATGAGGGTGAGAGATGTCAAATGAATTCAAACATAGTATCCTTGCAATATTAGAAGAACAAATGAGACATCATAAATTTGGAATAGGAGATCCTCGCGTAAGACACCTGAAATGTCTAGAGTATATGTCTTAATTGGGGACACGAACGTCTTAAAGAAGGGGACAAAAGTGTCTTAAAAAACCACCTAGTGTAGCCACTGTAAAAACTAGTGTCCAAAGACGTCTCAATTTAAAATATTAGACAAAAGTCTGTCTTATCGGCCAACAGTGTGAAGACTGAAATTTGGAATGTCGAAAAACAAGACGTTTGATAAACAAGATATTCTTATAATGTCTTGAAATATAAGTCACCAAATTTAAGACACCCTTTCTGTCTTAACGTCATTAAGACATGGAATCGTCAGACGTTTCTGGTGACTTCACTATTTCCTTGCAATTTATTGGAAGATGTTAAATGAATACAAACATAGTATCCTCGCAACATCGGAAGAGCGTAAAAACCTCAAATATCATTTTAAAGAAAAACAGTTTTTATCAGTATTTTTTATCCTGAAAATCCTTTCACCTTCAATTTCCTAACTCTCTTCAAATTATGCTTCATGATTAACTGTTCTCATGCAACATGAAAGAAAGACAAATGCAGTATTTGGAACAACAAATGAGACTCATAATTTGAACCGACAGACCCTCGCGTAAGCCACCCCCAATGTCAAGAGTACATGTCTTAATGTCTTAACTCGACACTAAAATACTCAAATTTGAGGACACAAACGTCTCAAAAACAGGAGAAAAGTCTGAACTTGAGACCCTAGTTGTTCTATTGAAGAAACAATACTTGAGTAACGCAACTCTTGATTCGCTCTCCAAGACGTGATGCTGCAGCAGCGAACCTCATTTACTTAATCAGGAATGTATCCAAAACGGAGTAGAATGGTTCAGTAACATTTTTCTCCTCCATCCCAGTCATTCTCCGCGCGCATGAAGACGGGACTGACACTTATGCAACGTACTTCCACAGGATTTAATTTTAGAAATCAAGCTTCGTATTTACCATTTGACAAATCCGTCGTTTTGGTGTCATTGTACCACTCACCGGGTGAGTTATCGTCGGGGTCTGGAATGCTCGTTAAAATTGGGACGAAAATGGAGAAGGGACAGCTGAATTTTTCGGATTATCGTCAATGAGTTCGAACTAGTTCATTCCTATTCAGATGTTCTGTAGAAATTTTAGAGAGATGACAGCGGAGAGCATTGAAAACTTCGTCAGTGCTGCAGCATCTTCCGTCTTCGGATTCTGACCCAATTCCCTCGTCTTCCATCCTCTTCTGTTGGTCCACACTGTATTATAATCTTCATTCGTCGATGTGTGTGTGTCTAGTAGAAGTTTAAGCTCAGCTATTTTGGCCACGATACGAAAATAGGCCTTGCATACCGAGCGAACGAAATGGCAAGAGTGTATTGCCGTTGCGATGATCTTTATACGAACTCCACCTTTTATTTTTCATCGTCTCTGCGTTGACTCGGATTTCTCTCTCCTTTATATGTATTTTTTTTCACTTTCTTCGGGGAGCATTTATCGATCCCATCTTGGGAACCCTTCGTGAATGCATTACCGCAGGAGAAAATGGAAAAAGAGGGTGAACTGTGGTGCGTTCGTTTTATCGATATCGTTGAACAATTAGACCAGCAAACACACGCGTAGACGCAGTACTTCTTATCTCAGACCTGCACTCCCCTTTCATTAACCTCCTGCACACTTCCCCTTCGTAAATCTAGCGAGTCTTTGTAATTAAGGGGAAATTTGTTTGAATGAGGATTTCAGGGTTTTATTTGGCGAGCATTGGTGGAGTTAATATTTATGATGAATTTTTGGGTTTATTCAGCGATTTGCGGATTAGCCAGTGAAGCGACATTGTTGGTGATTTTTGGTGGAAATTTGTAGGAGACTTCGTGGAGTGCGCAGTGAAGTGAAGGGCGGAATGGAATTTCAAGGGATTTCATTATTGATAATTTGGAGAAATCAGGAAAATTCGAGTGTATATTCTTTGGAATTTTCAATTGATTGCAAATTGCGTAATTGGGTATTGAATAGCACGTTCGGAATAGGAATTTCGAGTCAGTTTGGATTTTTTTCTTTCTAAATCGCATTAAATGTTGGTTTTTGTAAATTACTCCACAAATTTTTGGCAGAAATTTCCAGTACACTTCCTCCAATTAATTGAAAATTCATCGACATTTGGATCTAAATATTCACGTTTTGATTAAAAATTAAAATTACTTGAAAAATTTTCGTCTTCTCGCGACTCAAAAATTTAGAATTCTTCAGATTCTTCAGTAACTCTTGAAAGTTCACGATATTTCCCCCCTAAATCGAATTGAATGTCTTTCTCCATGAAACCGCAGTCATCATGGAATTTTAATTATTCCACGAAAATTCACAGACATCAGAAAAATTCAGCTAAATACAATCAATGTAATTAGCTGATTTTCAATTAATTGAAAATTCATCGCCATTAGGATCTGAATATTCATGTTTTGATTAAAAATTAAAATTACTTGAAAAATTTACGTCTTCTCGCGACTCAAAAATTTAGAATTCATCAGATTCTTCAGTGAAACTAGAAATTTCACGTTTTTTCTCCCCTAAATCGAATTGAATGTCTCTCTCCATGAACCCCCAATCATCATCTCCATGGAATTTTATCCCCTAGCGATAGAAATTCATTCCACCTCAGCAGTAAAACCAAAAATTAAAAAAAAACGTGGTATCGATCCTTGAGGCTCGTCCAAGAATAGCCTAGAACGAAAATAGGCCGAGACCGCAGTGTTCTGGTGCATTCTGCAGTGCGGCTCGACACGAGCGTCCCTTTGTAAACATCCATTGTCCCTCTCATTTGATTGTGAAGGTTAACAACAAAAGGAGTAACAAAAATGGGTAACGAGAGAGATGGAGAAATAATACGAATTTGTCCCTCGGGCGATCGGTCTGTGAGTTATGTCGTAACATAAGTAGAGATTGCGTGACTCACGGAGGGTGTGAGGGGCGCCGATGAAGATTCAGAGGGTCCCCGGGAATTGGAGTGAAACATACATATTTCGGTGATGTTACGCCTTCATGCCACTTCTTTTTTGGGTCATTGCACCCCGAGTTCTTTATTAGTTAGGTTTGGAACTGCCTCAGGTGCACATATAAGGATATTCAAGGATCTTTTGCTTCATTAAATCTTTAATTTTTAAATTAATCACCAAATTTTTAATTCCACCGACTGATTTCAACCTAAAATTGTTGCACACTGAGAGAAAAGAATAGCTCTGTTGAAAAAATACGAGGAAAGAATATTTTTTTCCCAAAAAAAATTGTCCCCTCGAAATTATTTAGTTTTGCCAATAACACAGTTATCGGCAAGAAAATTATAGTTTCCTCTTGAAATTATCATTTGTTCCATGGAAATTATAAGTGTTTATTGGACAAAGATAGACACTACTCAATAACATTCACTTGATAAAACCGGAGCCTCATATAATTCTCTGTAGAACGAATGTATTTACCCGAAAGACATATAAATGTCTCACGAGAACAATTACTGCAACGAAAATGATCCTGTTTTGGTGGAAACTTTCTTTTTTGTTCACAAGTAAATTGATTCAACACGACAAAAGATCTCTCCAGGGAAATAAAACCATCTCAAGCTAGATGATTTTATTTCAGATATTTTATTTATTCGTTTTCGTCAACAACATTGTTGCCACGAATACGATTTTTCATCACTTGTGCGTAAACAATATCGCGATTCACCTCGTTTCTCCGATCATTCCATTGGAGTCCTTTGCAAGTGATTGTAACACTCGCTCATCGCCACACCCTCTGAGATTCCGCTCTCATACCACTCGCTAAGAAGGAACGTAAGAGACCGAACCAAGGGACGACTCCATGCGCCAAGAATACGTGAAAAGACATTTTCAGTGTTTTTTTTCGCCTTGCGAATCTGAAGTTAACGCGCCCCGGATTTATGTGGTATATAGCGAAAAAATATAGGATAATGGATACAGGATCCTTATCGCTCTCATGATAGGCTACACGTTCTCGTGTGTCGCGAGAATATTATTCACATCTCTCGCAGCTCAGCGGAATACACTTGTAACTGATTAAATAGTCGGCGAGCCTTAATGCGAGTCACACTGCGCGGACTTGACGCAATTTATCGTTATTTGTTACGGATTTGTATGAATCTTCATGGAATTATTGAACTGAAATTTGTAGGTTCCATTGATTTCTTCAATCAACTAGCGCCATGAATGCGCTTTTATTATGC